GAATCGGCGGCGGCGGCGGCGCTAGGGCACGGGCGGCGGCGGGCGCGGCGCGGGGTTGGGGATGACAGGTGGGCCCCACCCGTCAGCGAGGGTGGCGGGCGGGCCTGCCTGTCAGCGGCGCGCGCTCGGGGAGGAGCCGATGGGCCGGAGGGGAGGAGAGAGAGAGAGGGAGGGAGAGAAGTGGGCCGAGCCGGCCCAAGAAGGAAAAGGGGGGGGAAAGAAGACTTTTAGGGATTTTTCTTTTTATAAACCTTTTCAACTTTGTTTATTTCTTTTCAATTATTATTTGTGCTCTGAAAATTCCACTAAAATTTATTTACGCATTTTAGGCTTTTAGGAAATATACAAAAATCCTCCAAGCCTCATTTGACTTTTATCTTTGCACATTTTAATTGTTGGAGGCTTTCACATGAATTTTAATTATTCTTTGCACAATTTCGAGGATGTATTTTAGAGTCGATTTGGGACGTGACAGTGGCGGAGGACCGCCCACCAACACCTAGGTGCTGCCGTGCCGTCATGACCAAGTTGGCTACGTCGTCCAGCCAACGTTGGGCTGGAGACTCCGGGTCAGGGACGACGGGCGGGTGACGTAGGAGCGCGCCCGCAGCTTGGAGCGCGCCCTGGGGCGTGCTACCGTCGCCGTAGACGAGGAGGCGACGCTCCCCATCTCGGCGCCCTTCTCCATCACCCGTGGATGTCGAAGTCGCGGATCCTTCGACCCTCTCGAGCGCCTCCTCCCGCCTAGGACTTTGGCGTGGAGGGGGCGGTGGAGTACGAGCTCGACGGCGTGGGTTCGGCTCCCCGTCGTCACCGCTAACACTCGGAGAGAGCTTGTGCGCTTTTGCTTGTTTAGCCATTGGGCTGAACAGGAAAAGCTTGGCGCACACGAAAGAGTATGAGAGCTTAGAAAAACACACGCAGAACCCCCTACATGGCGCGTCAGATGACGGAGCGTGGGGCTCCTCACCGGGAGACCGCGCAGGTCCCCCTTTGCCGGTTCGGCCGGGGGCCCTGGGTGAGGTTCTAAGCTCCTAGTCTGTGGAATGTTCGCGAAAGTGGAAACACACAAGACACGGGCGATGTATACAGGTTCGGGCCGCTGAGAAGCGTAATACCCTACTCCTGTGTTCTGGTAGATCTGTGTACGAAGAAGCTACAAAGAGCTGGAGAACCAGAGAGCTCAAACTCTAGAAACTCCTTTCCTCCTTTTTGCCTCTCGTGGGATCTTCTCTTGGATCCTCCGGGAGTCTCCAATCTCTCCTCCCCTGGTCCTCTGGTCCGGATCCCCTCCCTAAGTGGGCAAGGTCCTCCTTTTATATCTCAAGGGGATACCACATGCACCACTTCTACCTATTTCTCTTTTTGGTGGGGACCCATCCTCTTTTCACTAAAACTTGGCTCGCCTTTCCTTCATAAATGGGCGGAGATTTGTAATGGTTGCCGTCCGAATGACCTTCTGATGGGACGGCCCATACCTACCTCCACTTCCGCCGGAAGCAGGTGCGACGTGGGAACATGGCTGTCTGCCAACGACATGACCAGTGTCAGACCGGTCACAAATCGGTCATTCTTGTCCACCACGCGTCAGTTTATCAATCTGCATGTTCACCCTTCTTCATACAATGTCTTGCTTGTAACGGTTGGGATGAAGCCTGGCATATATCTGACCGGGACCAACGTGTCATCTCCAGGAGCTAGCACGCTGGCTCCGGCTAGGGACAAGTGCCTGGAGGCTCTTATCCTGACGGGATGGGGCGAGGCGTGTGTCAGACCGCCTGTTGCCACCTAACCCACGATCTGACCGGTCTGTGACCGGTCACAGACCGGATAAACGAGCGCGCTGCACTGCGTTACATGCGGCGTGACGCGCTCGTTCAAACCGCAATAAATGCGGTTAGGTGAGCCCCGCCGTGCTCACCTAACCTATACACGCGGCGCAAAACCCACAAGGGGTCGGGGCGCCTCGGCCCTCGGGGCCGAAACGGGAGTGGTCCGATCCCTCGGGGAGACAAAGAGAGGGGCGGCCTCATCACCTTCGGGCCCGACCCCCCCGAGGGGGTCAGGCCACGTGGGTGATTGCTCCTGCCCAAACCTCTAGTCATGATACTCCCGGTCCCATGTCACCGACATCATGCTTCCCGAAGAAACCATGATGAATTTATCATGGTTACAACAGAAACATCCACATCTACATAATGGTAGTACTAGTATTGTTCTATTCTGCACGTATTACATTCTGTGTGCGGAACTCAACACGTACTGCTCGAGTACAATTTCTGAGCAGAGGACAGGGAAATGAAAAGAATGCCTACCAGGTATAGTTAAGTTAAGGGTGTGTTTAGTTCACGTCAAAATTGGAAGTTTGGTTGAAATTGAAACGATATGACGGAAAAGTTGTAAGTTTGTGTGTGTAGGAACGTTTTGATGTGATGAAAAAGTTGAAAGTTTGAAGAAAAAGTTTAGAACTAAACAAGGGTTAAGAAGAAATAAAATAAAACTATGAATATATCTGCTAGTATTGTACAGTTATGCTACGAGATGTTGAATTCAAATCTCACATACTATTATTTTTTTTTACTTAGTATGCATCTTTACTACATGTTGTTTCAATTGGTACTAATTAAACATCAAAAAGTTTAGTCTCGATTACTAGTCTCGAACAGGTATTAAAGATCGTTTCTCGTGCATGAGCAATAAAAACTGATATAACAAGAGGAAGCTCCACGAGAAAAGCAAAGAAGACGGAAAGAGAATCTCATATCACCTGTGCCATGGATTGATGTCACAAAATCGCCGTTGTTCGCTCTGAATCGCCCGTTGACAACCTGATTTATCGATCAGGGCTGTCGAGAGGGATTTATATGCGAGCTCAACATTGTTTCGATTTTCCGATTACCGCGGACGGAAATTTGTCCACCGCGTGTGGATCCGGTAACGGGCTTCATCGGGGCTTGCTTCGATGGACGGTCAATAGGAGCGGGAGTATGTACTCCCTAGGAGTACCCATTTTCATATATATACTGTACTCGAAAAATTGGCTTTGAGTTGAACCTGACTCTTATTTTGTTCTTCTGGATTTTAATATTTTGTAAACTATTTTCTCAAAGATAATTTACCAAGTTGAGCTATCATTCATAGCAAGATCTCTCGCTGCAACACCCAGGGTCCTTTTAGAGAAAATTGCAATATTGGGACAACAAACATTAGGGCTTCGCTGTCTTGACACTCCGAGTGGATGACAAATGGGTCCATATGTGTCTATGAAATATGTGTCCAGTATCATTATAGCAAAGGTCAATGTTTGCAGTGTCATTATTGCAAATCTCCCGTCATTTTTACCCCGTTTCATAGAAAAATATTATATCTTATGAAATTAAATCTTATAAAATTAATAGACGAGATATAGCTACATTGGTGTACATCTTTAATGCATGCCATCCAATTTTAGATTACCATATTACTTTCGAACGAATGGAGTAAGAAATGCTCATCTGGTTGGCATCAATATTTTAGGCGACTGGTGATATGGAAGATGTTCTCCGGGGTTGATTACAGCCGTAGTTCCTCGTTCCATGTCGTAGACACACAGCGCTTTCCCATTGAACCCCGAGTAGTAGATACAGTTCCCTCTCAAGCCTGTTGTCCGTGCATCAAGTGACGCTCCAAAACAGCCTATCTGAACGAAGAACACTCTGCCACCTAGCGAATCCACCTTCACCCACGCTGATCTTTGCTCCTGCGTCGTCGCCATGCTCAGCCTGTAAACGCCAACACCAGCGACAATCCGATCACATCCAATCGGGTGAGAGAAGAGAATGGAGTGCAGCTCCCCGTTCGATTCCACAAAGATGCTGGTACGTTTCATGTACACCGCCGGCCTCCTGTCGTCGTCGTCTACGGCGGTCACGGTGAACGCCGGCTCCAGTGAGAACTCGAGGACGGCGACATGGTCGATGAGATCGGTGTAGAACTCGCCGTCCATCGCCGTGAGCTGGCGTAACGCCAGGATGACGATGCCGCGGTGCTCGTGGTGAGGCGGCCCAGGCTGGAGGTACTGGTGCTGATGCCTCTTCACCCAGTGGTTGTCGCCGGGGCGGCAATACCAGAGCACCGTGTCGGCGTGGTCGATGACGAGCACGACGCAGCTGGCCGGGTCCATGGGACCGCAGCACGAGAGGAGGCACCTCCGGCGATGGCTGCTGCCTTCGGCGGCGAGGACGGTGCCGTCGTGGTCGGGGGGCAGCCCGACACGGCGGCCGGTGAAAGGGTCCCACAGGAAAGTGCACGGCGAGCCGCGGCGCGCCATGAGCAGCCAGCCCTGCGCCGTGGTCCACCACCGGTGGCCTCTCATCATGTCGTCGACGCCGCCGTCGCCCACCCTCCTTGGCAGCAGTGCTCTCGCCGGCACGCTGTACAGGGACGTGGCGTCGCCGTGGCCGAACAGAAGCAGAGGAGCAAGCTTGGGATCCAGTACTGCTGCAGATGCATCGCCTGCCTCCTCCATGATTTTGATGGCCGACTGTCCCACAGGTAGGATACGGCCGGTCAATTGAAAACGAACGAATTTGGCGGTGCTTTATAAACGAGGAGAGGCTTTGAGCAGTGCAATTACTGGCATATAGGAAAGAGAAGCGAAGAAATCTGCACGCCTACGACCTACGATTACTAGTACCAATTAGGACATGAATTCCTACACGACATCAAAATTCAAACAAATTATAGTACTAGTACTTTGGGCCGGTAAATCAGTAAAAGGAAACAGTAATCTGGGCCGGGGATAAAGAGGGATCACCACATATGCATCTATGGAGATTGGATAGCAACCAACAAAAACCAACCGTGCCGGGTATACAAACTACAAGCAGAAGCGGAAGCCGACCTATATATGAGTCCGGAGGAAACACGTCAAGAAAGCAGAGCTCCGTAGCAGCACAAAACGCAGCGCGCCAAGCAGGCCATTGCGGTGCACGAACCCTCGAGATTCGCCAAGCAGATAGATGGAGGCCACTGCGACGGCGGCGCAGGGACTACGGGACTGGTCGTCTCTCCCGTTGGACATGCTCGTGCTCGTCCTGGATCGGCTCGGGTGGTCGACCCACCCGAGCTTCGCATTGACGTGCCGGCACTGGCGCTCCGCCGTGTCGCCCTTCTACCCGGCGTGGATCACGCCTCTCCTCCTGAGCGCCGCCGACATCGGCGTCACGAACGTCAGGTACTACAGCCCCTACTACCACAGGTGTTTCGAGATCGCCGACACGCTCCTCAAGGTGCCCAAAATTGCGGCTAGGATCTGCTGCTCCAGTGGACAACACCTCACGCTGTGTCTACCTAGATTGATCCTCCAAGCCGATCTCGTAGCCGGCACCATGTATGAGCTGCCAGAGATGCCTTTCTATTCATTCGAGTTTATTGTCTACGATGAGCACGCGCGGAGGATGTATTGCGTCAACACGACGTACGCGCTACAGCTCGCCCGTGCGACCCAACAAGACGACGGCGAGTGGGGGCCCTGGGAATTAACGGACTTTGACGTGGAAGGACCGCAACTTCTGGCGGCGCCGATCAGCAACCCGGTGCTCCATGGTGGTTTGTTGTATGTTCTTGGTGAAGACGGGAAGATGGCGGTGTATGATCCATGCAACCACGACAATAATTTTACAGTTCCCGATAAACCTAAGGGCTTTGGAATCAAACACCAAGTTGATAGCCACCTGTTTGAGTCCGACCAAGGCGCGCTCATGGCTGTCCTCGTCGGCTACAGTGGTGCGCCTATCCATGTCGTCAAGCTCAACGAAGAGACGATGGAGTGGGAGAAGATGCGGTCATTGGAAGGACATGCGTTGTTCACCGGGACATACACGACAATGTTGAGGAAGACTAAGCTTAGATTGATGCAAAACAAGGTGTTCCTCCCGAGGCTGTATGACTGGCCTGAGACTATCCATGTCGACATTGTTACACGTGATGGCGAAACAGCATTTGTACCAAAGTCATCCAGTTCGTCTAACACCAAGGAGATCACCTCGGACATAAATATTTGGTTCTACGAGTTTGGGCAGCAAGACGCAAGAGAGTTTTGGGGATCGGAGAGAGTAGATTATAGTATTTGGGTTGATTTTAGTACTAATTGACACAAATTGACGTTGTTAGCTCTTATATTTTCATATAGTGAATCATCTCACAATGAAGTTACTCTTCTTTCAGGCCAAAATCAAAATCGACGCAAATGAAATTTGATATAATATTTCTTTGTTGGTTGAAACATGGCGCTATTAATATTATGCACTCAGCCAATGCAATTTTTGCATGAATTGATATTGATATTTGTGCACAGTAATTTATGAGGATTTAAGGGAATAATAAAATTATAGGCTTGGATGATTTTCTCGGAAAATTTGAATTTTTTTGGGAGGGAAGGATTTAGGGTTTGGGTGATTCACAAGGATTTAGGCAAGTTTTGAATTTCAAAATTCGAACCTTGGGATTTGTAATGGAACTTTGGGATGAAGTTTTTGGGATATCAAGGAGAGACCCACCGAGATCTTTTGGCACACTTAAGTCCTTGAGGATACAGAAAGATCTAAAATTTTTGCAATTAGGATTTCGTTTTATACAAAATAAGTTAGAAAAATAATTCATTCGACTGTGAGTTGCTGAAGATATGGTGGTGTTATCGGAAGACTTGACCGAATAGCCATCACTGCTAAATGGTGGCATGGATCTACTTAATCCACAAATAGACTTTCCCATTAAACCAACCATATGACTGATTACTCCCTTCATTTCACCAACATCCATTATCCAATGCATGAATCGATTTAAAACCAAAACGTATCACATAGAGCTAGAAGAATGAGGAAAACTTCACCAAAAGCAAAGTAGTTAACGTACAGGTGCAAGTAGTTAACGTACAGTATCAATGATACTGGTTGGTGACGTTGGCTTTCATCATATACTTGGTTATCTTCTTCTTCGCCTTCTTGTCTTCCGACTCACACGTCTTAGCGTGAGCCAGAAGTGGGTTTCTCGCCCTGGCCGAAGAAGGTTCAAGAAGAATCTTCTTGTAGCCTTTTCCGCAGATCCAACACTTCTTTGGGTCGAATTCCTCCTGCTGACGCACGGCCACCTGATGGCCCGTTGCAGTGGCATCGAGGGCGACCTCGTCGGACTCGATGACTGCGCCGAGAGAAGGTTTGGGAGCGCCGTCGTCAGCGTCGGCATTGGCGCTGGAGTTGGGATCGACCTTGTCGTCGGCTGCGACAGTGCCAGTGGGATCGACCTCATCCGTGACGGTGTTGTTGGCGCTGGGAGTGGGGACGAGCTCGCCGCTCTCAGCCCTGGCACTGCCGCTGGTGTCAGCCGTGGCGCAGGAGTCGGCCATGACGCCCTCGTCGCTTGTGTCGCTGGCACCAGCCGGCGCAGCACTGGTGCTGGCAATGTTAGAGACGGCAGTGCCAAATCCAGCGGGATCCACCAGCTGGTACTGGAAGGCGCCGGGCTTGAACTGAACCAGGATGACGGTAGTGTTCTCGCCCGATGCCAAGCCGAACTCAACAACCTCCTCACAGATGACACGCAGCTCTGCACCCTCCTGCATAGCAATATTAATTGGTCACAGCATTATTGGTAACAGCAGTTTTAACAGCGAAAGAATCGAAGTCAAAGCAGATGGCAGTTTGTCAGCCAGGCATGCATATTCAGTGCTAAACTAACAAATGGTTTTGTGAGGTTTAGGGCTTACACAGTTTTTTTTTAAAAGAAAAGAGAAAATCAGGATATTTACATTGCTTGATTGAAGTCATTTCCTAGAACAGATAGCATGATTAACACCACTAAGATATCTTGTCCTGCCAAGAAGACAAACTGAGGGAAAGAAAAGACTCACCACCGATAAACGGTCATGTATGTAAGAAACCACGTCCGCACTGTCCACGCAAGACCTGCAGGGGGAAAATATACAGTAGTCAATGCAATTAGTATGGAACTATGAGTGAAACTATATATGAACCAAATAGGAGGAAAAAAAAAAAAGAGAATGCCAATGAGTACTGGTGACATAAAAATGATCCAATAGTTATTGACAGGTATTTTTTGCTGAAGAGTTACCACTTACCAGAGACCTTGACTTGCAATAACAAGAAACTCCATGTCATCAGTTATGTCATCCTGACATTGAAAGGGCAATTTTCCATCAGATCCCAACCCGGCAAAACTGAACTTCATATTCTACCAAACGGACCTATTTACACTTAGTTACACTTACAGCGAGGATGTCCGGATCACATACCAGCATTTGTTTTTCACGATCTAAATCTTTGTTCTTCTTGAAAGCAAAGTCACCTGAAATGTAAGTAGGTAAAACGCCAATCACAGTGTAATGTGCTTCTTTTTGTGCTATTACATGCAATCAATGAAAAACAGATCCAGACAAGACTATACCAATTGATCTTGAGATTGTTACACCTCCCCCAAAATCACCGAGGACCCATTGTTCCTTGACTACATAATTCCCCATTACTTGTTCACACCTAAGTCCAAGAGATCTCCCTCCTGCATTTTGAACTCTCTCTCTTTCAGACTCAGTTCTTGTGCATGGTTTGTGATCGAAGGATAAATCAATAGCCTATTGACAAAATGGAAACAAGCACAAATGTTAGGCACCACAATGAACGAGCTTGCAAATTAGGTATTAACCAGAAATTCAATAGGGAAACAATCACTATACCAGGCCACCCTGTCTTGAGAGTACGCAACGAGAATCACCAACATGTCCAACAATCATTTGGTTACCTCTGATGACAACCACACATGCTGTGCTCCCTTCATACGCTGGCCCAGTATATGTCGCCTGGGAAAACAACAACCAAACTGAAGTATATAACACAGAATCACAACATTGTTAGAAGGAAAAGGCTACCAAAAAATAGCTCAAGAAAGCCAACAGGTATAGAAAAACATTTCTGAAAACCAAACCAATGTATGAAAGAAATAACCATCGAAGGGATATCGCAAACAATACCTCAATTTGGATAGCATAGTATGATAAGAACCAAGGTGCAATGAGAACTTAAGAACCTGTTGGCCTCCAACTCAGTAAACCAGCCAATTGATATGTAACTAATTGAACCTTTTTTAATAGGAGCAATTAGTCGAGATTAGGGTTAAACATATCTCCTCCAACTCCAAAGTACATCACAAGAAAGAACAACAGTCTCGATATCAAACACATTCTTCCATTTCCTTTTTCATAGATACAATATGCACACTGTCCAACAAATACAATTTTGAGTAACTTCTTCACGATATGAATATTTGAGGATGCTAGGGGTTAAAAGATTACTACCTGTGGGAAAGGCTTAGCACAGACACCAGCCTTGAGAAAATACATACATCCATTATCATGAGGAATAACTAACTCTCTCCAAGCATCGGACTGTTGCAGGTTCTCATCCATGCTGCAGCAATCACACGAACAATGATATCCCACATTTCCAAGTGCAGCTATAAACAAAATTATGTAAAGTAGGCCAAAATAACCTTAAAAACACATTGTCCAGTGCATTAATCAGATCGTTGTGATAGTCTTCATGATTGCATAGCTCAATGTGAAATTGTTTTGCGCAATACAATGCTACTTCAGCTCCTGAGATAGAAAAAAACAATTCAGTATGGCGTCTCGCTCAATACGATGGATCAAGATTACTTCTATTGCATAGAAGCTTATAAATCAAAACACTGTTGTGAACATTAGTAGCAGAACAACACTTGAATAGGCATCATTAAAAAAAAACTAACCTGTTAATCTGTAATTATCCTCTAAATTATCATCACCATTTATATTACTAGTAACTCATATTCATGCAGTGTTTTATCTCTCATGAATTAAAATTTCTTTTTATGTAGTTCATGTTATCCTTGCAAGCATGCCACACGAATGTGATTACTGATTAGCTAACTTGTTCATTATCCATAACTGTAGCATCATATTTATTTGAAAATTGACAGGTAAATGTTTCAACATATACCACAAAGTTTTCAAAACATGCGCAGAGATAAACAAAGTGATACACACAGACAAACATAGCATGACATAACAGTTACGCCAACAATTTGGAGGGTTTGAAATTAAAAAAAAAATGAGAATGAAAGCAAACCTCCATGGCCATCATAAACACCAAAGAAAGACGTGGACGTGGCATCATCAAGATTTAGAATAGCTGCATGCTAGAGAATATAGAGGGCATATGTCAGTCACAGTATTTTGCAGAACTGTCCCTTTTTTTTTCATACAAAAGGCTGCAAGTTTACTCACAGCATCTTCCATTTTCTCACCCCATCCTTGCATAGACGACACAACATACTTAATTCTGTCATTCTCTTCTTCAAAAGTGAACTTCGATTCTACAGGAAGGCTGTTACCCATAGCGGAACTTGCTTTGCTGAAAATTTAACATGAATACAAATATAAAATAACATTATTAACAAAAACGGGGAAAGACACTTAAACAATAATACAGATCAATTAAATGCCAGAAAGCTAGGTTACATATGAAATAAAGTGAAGTAGAATCATCAAACTTGATATGGCACTACTTATCTAGCTCAAAGCACAGGGTGTAATTGGTGCTTTCATTCAGGGCCCTTAAATGCTTAAATGCATTTTTGAGATATATAACATGGAAGTATCAATCTTCAGTTGCAGTGCTGCATTATTTTACACCTAAATCTTATTTTATTACTGCGAACAAAATACACACAAGGTTTTCTACAAACGCGATATAAGCTTTACTGACACATATCATAACACCAAATTTCAAAGTGAGATAAGAAGAGGAAACGAGCGCATAAAGTGTACTGTACAAGAATGATCGATTTCCTTTAGATATGGCACTGCTTCGGCGAATCAAAACTTAAACAATTGCAAACAGAGAATGAAGAACAGAAGAAAAAAAGCAAGAACAACCTAACAGTACAGTACGGCACCGAACGCCATCACAGAGAAGTGAAAAACAGGTTACAGACAAAAAATGCACAATATCTCGGTAAGGGAGAAGGAAGCCAAATCAAGATTCAAGAGATGGAAGTTTCTTTGATAGGTAAAGAATCAGAAGATTTACAAGTAATTCAATGGAGCGACACATGCAGAAATCATTGAACGAAAAAATAGCATCGAGTAAACAAAGCCACAATAGGACAGAGAGTTCTTTCGAGGCAGAAAACAGAGAGACGTGTAGAGAAGAAGCATCCTGCATATTGCATCAGGAGCAGCGAAATGAACAGAAGAAGGCATCTAGCTAATACAAATTCAGAAACTGGCACTTCCGCAGCATACCAAAACAGAACAAACTGAAAAGAGAAACGAATTGATGTGGTTTAATTTCTCGAGCTTGCACTGGTAGAAATAGAGAAACGGAAGGCAAGATCAAGACCAAATAGAGAAACGGAAGGCAAGATCAAGACTAACATGTTCCGAGGAGAGGCGAACGAGATCACCATGAAGCTTCCGTGCTCTTCAACCTCCTCCAAGAAACTCACACACCCAACTTCAAAAGCATCAAGCAACAACAACACGGGAAAGGGAAGCCAAGAACAGGAGGAAAAAAATGATCACGGCCAGGTAAAATCTTAGCAAATTTCGGATTCCGAAACGCCTTAAAATTCGAGAAGAGAACGAGGCGCCGTTCTACTTGATCAATACGTAAGGAAGACGGGCAGATTGCATCAGGAACAGCAAAAAGAATAAGAAGAGGGCATTTGGTTTATACAAATTCAGAAACTGACACCTCCGCAACACACCAACTGCAAAACAGGAGCCAAAAAAAAAAACAAAGCAGAGAAGAGAAACGAATTCATGGCGTCTAACTTCTCGCGCACGCATTGGTCGCGCCAGGAACCGTCAAGATCAACGTGCTCCGATGGGAGAGAGGCGAACGGAGACCAACCATGAAGCTTCGGTGCTCGTCGACCTCCTCATCCAACTCCGAGAAAACCACGCCTCAAATGCATCAAGCAACAACATCACGGGTACGGGAAGCGAAGAACACGAAAAAAGAGGACCAGACCGCGGTAAACAGGAACCAACCAAGACGCAGGGTGCTGCTCGATTCAGCGAAGACAAGAACGAGAGAAACCGCGACACCAAACACTCCAAGCAAACAAACACCACCACCAATGGAGCAAGATCGAAGAAGAGTAGGGAGAAGAATCTCACGGCGCTTTCGGAGAAGAAGTAGGGTTTAGGGATGGAGGCGGCGGATGAAACCACAGAGGAGAGGAGGATGAAGTGGGAGAGAGATCTCACCTCTCACCTTTGCCGCTGCTCTTGAGACGCGAGAGAGAGAGAGATGCGGAAAAGTGGTTGTGCTGCGAAGCGCAAAAAGTTGTGCTTAAATACCTGGACCGGACGAATCTCCTCCGTCGGATCGTCCCTCGCGGCTGATCCAACGCTCGAGGAGTGGCCCCATCCTGTGGCTGGTGGTCCCCACGGATACCTCGCCCCTGCATGACTCGTCCAATTCTCTTTTACTCATCATCATCAACTATTAGTCAGTTCATCAATCTGGGTACAATTTTCATCAATTCTCTTTAATCTGGATCAGGACAACTTCCATACAATCTCCACACGAATCGACAAAAATTCTAGCATTTTCAAATCCCAGATTAAAAAACCCTGTAATATGACAATATCAAGCCTAATCAGAATTAGCTGACCTGGAATTTCTAATATTACATGGCAAGATAATATATGCTTATTTACAACTTAATCTAGTACATCGATCACATCATGTTGGCAAATGGTATGATGATGTTATCAAGCTTAGAAGGTAGCGACCTGCTGCTGCTGCTGCTGGCCTTGCTGTGATCCGCCGATTCCAGTGCTCGTGATGTCTGAAGGGCCATCTCAGAATGAAGCCGCAGGCAGGTCATAGCCATCTTGAAGACAAACATGCCAATGGGAGGAGTTAGATGACAGTGTGAAAAGTTACTGAGTTTCCAGCTTATACTGAATTGGTCTCTTTTAAGTAAAAACTGGTTTCCAGCTTATAAGTAAAAATATGTCCTGTTTTTCGTTACAAATTGCTGAAAAGAGCTGGGTCACTGAATTTGTATACTGAAGGAATGAGAGAAATGAGTAGGTTACAGAAAACTAAAGCATATAAGGGTAGGTTACTGAAATGATTAGGCGATGCAGACAAACTTTGATACAAAACCAGCATAACTGTACTCCTTTGTTCGTCAAAAAATGACCTATTATTATTGTGTGTGGTTTTAAGAAACAAATGTCATCCTATTATACCATAATTGCTCTCTACGTCGACGAACAAAACACGAACAAGTGATCGATAACAGATATAGACCAGAGTACTTACTGATGTGCATTCTGTATCAGGATCTGTTTCTGCAACATGAAGAGCCCATGTGCGTATCCATTCCAAACCAGTAGAAACATCCTGATTTCCTTCTATAAGAGATGATGCAACATACGACGGATGCAGCGCTATCAGTATGCAAGAAGCTGCAAACAACACAGACCTCCTGACGTATGCTTCGGGATGTTGCGAAACAGCCCTGCAGAAACAAAATCCAATGTCAAAATCGTACCACTTGGTTATAACTAAGAAAGTCTTTAACACGGAAATGCTTGTTTTAGGCTTGGCATACCTAGATCTGATCATATCAAGAAGAGCTGGGGCAACAGCTGATGCTTCTGGATGCATTGCCATGCACTTCATACAGACACCAAGCATGTATATCAATTTACCTAGGACAACAAAGTCCCGATTGAGCAAGTCAACACCATGTGATCTTTTATCATATCCTTGCATAACAGGGAGCATAAAAGCAGCAGCATATAAAGGAAATCTGTTTTTTGACCACTCTGTCTGCAAATCTTTAGCTTTTCCAAGACCCCATTTACGAGATTTTCCTGATTTAACTTGACCAGATCTAGATGGAACTTCTCTTTCATACCGGTGTGACCAATTCAGAAGTGTTCCTGATTCTGAGACTTCCCTCCAAGGACCTGCACCAGCAGGTCCCTGATCACTAGGAACTAGCCAAGAGGGAGAGGTGTCGGATATCAAGTTTCCATGCCGCAGCTCTCTCCTTACAATTTTAGTTTCCGCAAGCTCCTGTGCGGCCTCAGTCATAACATCAATAATCAAAATGCGCTGACTTACATCCACGCTTGATGAGTACAGCAACTTGGTGAGAACATCTAATGGTTCAAATGTGCAGGTTACCAGCAAGGCAACTAATGCCTTCTGTCTCTTTTCTTCAGCAGAATCTTCCTCTCCTTCCATTGCCACGTCAGAACATCGAACATGCACAAGTGCTCTAACAAGATCACCTGAGTTGTGGCGTAGTTCATCAGGTGATGCTCTCACAAGCTTTTCGGCAGAACTCAGAGCGTTTTCAACCTTGGGTAAAAAAAAAGGGAGGATGATCAGAATTTTACAATAATTTGCTCTGGAAAGTACAGGTAGCACTAGATAGAAACTTACACCGTCTGGATCATCAGGTTTTCGTAGTGCAGCAGCAAGATCTTTTAATTGGGTGAATTTCTTCTGCAAATCTGAGTCATCGTCTGACAGATCATATGGCTCCAGGGATGAATCACTGGAGGCATCAATGTTCATTATTTCCTCATCACATTCTTCCTCTCCGAAATGCCCATTCACAGCAGAACCAGACGTTTCACAAGAATCTAGTGATTTGATCTCAATGATTTTTGCCCTGTTCTCTGAAGTATCATGTTTAATAGCCTTTGCCCTTCTCTCACCAGCATGTTTCTTGTTCTCAGGCAAAGATGGTTTCAGTTTGCTTATAAGTTCTACATCCTTTGAAGGGGCTGTGATTTCCTTCGGAGATAAAACCCCAAAGTCCCACTCAACATTCTCACAACAGTTATCATCAAGGTATAGAGGATTGTTTGGATCAACAACTTTAGAAAATGTCAATGCAATAGCACTGGCCATCTTCCGGATTAAATCAATTGGACTCTCTAACCTACCTACAGCAAAAGAGCATTCAGTATTACCATAATAATAATATGATAAGCTAATGCAGGGGGGGTGGGGGGGGATACTCACAGCTTACACCTTCAAGAATATTGTTCAATACATCTTTAGTTGTTTCTAATTCTCTTTTTGACATCTTCTCCAAACACAACCCAATTGCTGCAGTGATGTCTGAGTGTTGTTTAAGGGGAACAAGTCAAATGATAATTTGCAAATAAAAAGTGTGTAATGTAATACAGTTTTGAGTGCCTCAAAGGATACAAGCTTGTTGCTCCACTGAGTATGCCTGGACAAACTCTTTCTTGGACCAAACACTGACTAAAGTTTGCAGTGTACCAAGGAAGCTCGATGTCCTTTGCTTCTGTGTTTCTATGCCTGAATTTGGTGGCAATTCAAAGACAGCATAGTGAAGAATCCATCTCAGACAACATAGAGGGAATGTTTTCCAACGCAAAAATTTGTCAACAAACATTGCCCTGAAGAAAGCACAGAGAATTAAAGGATGAAAGAAAAGAAAAGAAAAGACACGTTGAAGATTATTTGATCAATCGCTGCATGCCAATTATACGCTGAATAGACACCCATAATATAAGCCCATGCTGAAAGTTAAGTAAACATACATGGCACCCTGTTTGTCGTTCATAGGAATGAAGTAACAAAGACATACAGGGTATCTGAAGACTATCATTCACCTTACCTAAAACATCCACTAACTGAAAAAAATAAACCTCAGAAGTACTTTTTCCTTCACAGATAAATGTAGCATGCCAGACACAGATGAACCAATGTGGATAAACTAAAAAACAAGCACGTCAAGTGTTGCATAGTATTAAAATGCGCACATGTACTATCTCATTCTCACCTCAAAACAGTTTTGTGCATGAAGCTCTGATTAAACAAAGTCCACAGAATCCAGTATGCCTCCTCATCGCTTGTATGTTGTGATGCAAGTTGGCGCAACATCTCTTCCGCCAACCTTTCAACAGAATGCTGGTCTCTAATAGCCTCAACCACATTAAACCAAAATTGGGAAACATGCTTGATCTTGTCAGGACTTATGGTTTTATGATCAGATTCCATACATCTCTTTAAGTGACTACGGATCCTAGGAATCAGCTCAGCAACTAAAATGCCTGAAAAGAGCAAGATATATTATCAGAAATACAACAAATAGTAGGGAAAAGGATGGCTACATAGATTACAAACAAGAAGTTGTTAATGACTAGAACAGTGTGCTAGGATGATCAGCCATGACATGAGGCACTGCTATCCTGGGTGACATCTCAAGCATTGCAGACCCCAAGTCTACTGTGATTGCCAAAAGTGAACACTGGATAAAAACCCAAAAACAGGCTACCTTAAATGTTTAAAATTTCAGCTGAAGGGACTATTAGTGGACCATCAGAGAAAACCAAATGTGTACCACTGTGTTGTATTAGTTTGCATAAGGATTAAAGATTATATGAGGACAAAAAAGGATCTGCTCCATCACCCTAGTAGCAGACCATCGCAAACATAAATGTTGAGTTGAATACACTATAATCCTACCAGACACAAATGCATTGCTAAACCATTACTGCACCAACTAGAACTGCCCCCATTAGTAAATAGAAATGTCTAAACAGATAAACTAACAGCACACTGCACACGTCAAGCTACATCCTGAAGGATGAATACTCACCAGTAGATCCACGACGGCTAACACGAGATATCACTTCACCCACGAAGAGGAACACAGAATTGGAGGCATCTAGTCCATTAGCATCTTCGCCAGCAGCCAACTCCATAGCCGCTTGTTCAGTTGCAACAAGAAGCTGATCGACAACACACTTGAAGAATGACCTTGGTTTCCATCAAGGACTTACAGTTTGGAGGAACAAACATAGTGCAAATAAATACATATTAGCTGAGAAAAAGCTAACAGAATAAAAGGAAAGGAAAAAAATAACAAAGATGTTTGTGTTTGTGTGTGTCGTGTTTGGGGCGGTGGGGGTGAGGATACGATGATGTCAGTGCAGGTGAAGCTCCCATTCTTGTTTTATCTGGAACAGATGCAAGTAGTTGAGCAACCCTTGAAATGAAAGCTGCTCTGCCTGGGTTCAAGTTGTCATCATCGTGCTTGCTGCTTACAGTAAACTCTGCAATAATCTGGCTGACCCCCTTATTCTCGACCAAAC